CATCAGTGTACTGATGAGCAGTATCATATGCTGACACAAACCCCTGAGATCTAAGGAATTTGTAAACATGACCTTGTTTGCTTCCATTCCAGTCACTGAAAGGGGAAAAGAAATTTATCATATCGAAAATACTTGGTAGTTTGTAAGACCACTCAGACAGGAATACAATTACTCAGAACTTACCCGCACAATATAATGGGCAATGGATTAAGCTTATTTTCCTTCTGATATGACTCGACATGCTGCAAGATTTTGTAGGCCTATTAGAAGACACACAAAATACAGGTTAAGAATACGAACACCGAATAATATGAAAATGAAGTGAGATGCATACAAACCAACACTTTGACAAAGAAGTTTATCTACCTGACGCAATCGTTCCAGACAACAACTTGAATCATGAGGAAATAATAAATGGGTGTTCACTATAAGAATTTCTTGCTGAACATTGTTGCTATGATATTGTGTGAAGGGTGCGACTAATTCAACATGTAATAGCTGAGCAACACGGTCTCCAAAATCATTGAAGAGCAACTCCCTATGGTTAAGAACCCTAAAGTAGTCCTTATGCACAGAAGTTAGAAGACCTGTTGAATCCCAAAAACAAATATCTGAATCAGCTCTAGGGTAATCAAAATGGGATTGTAAACATTTACCCAAGTTAAATTACAGTGGAAGTCAATCATTTTGTGTCCATATATATGTATGTATATAGATGTGTGTCTGTGTGCATATATGAAATCTGTAGCAATTCTTCATGAATAGCTGATATATGATGCCTATTCTCCCACTACTTTGAGAAATACAACACAAAAGTTAATGTCAAAAATGGCCACTCTACTGCTGAAGTTTAGTCTGGTAGGTGCAGATGTTGCACTGCCACCATTTTCTCAAAAATATTGGGTTCCCCGTCGAAGCACAAAAACAAGTACACCTGCTTAACAACCCTTCACCCACTTTCTAGTTTCATATGTGTCTGTTCTTACTCCGACTATGAGCAAATCATGTAATTTTTATAAACAAAAGAAACTAGTATCTAGAATTATGAAAAACCATTCAATGAATATATATCATCCAAATAAAATAAGAATCATCTAATGTACAAAATGGACTAAGATCTTTCAAAATGAAACTGTGATTTAATAGAAATCAATTCAGGAAAATGAGAGAACATACCATCACCACGGTTGTTGGTTCGCGCAAGCTTGAAATTGATATAACCAGCATCACTAAGTCTCCTCTTGTAAATATTGACAAGCTCTTCATTCCCAACCCAAAACTCCTGCATCAGGCGACAAAATACGAATATATTGTTCGTTCAGTGTGCCCATAGTTCTACTATCCACCCAAATTCGTTAAAAGAATGCACAACAGAATAGACCAAGGAATTGGCAAACCTGAAGACAGATAATGGAAGATCTTTCGTTCAACAACCAATCCAATATTCTCTGGTTCCTGTTCAACCAATACACCCTGTAATCGCTTTCCCGGCAACTTTGGTCCTGTCCTTTCAGAAATTCATTCAATACCATATAAATACCAACATATGACAGACTTGTACATACATATATAAGCACAGAACAGATGAGAATATGTATATTTCAGATTAGGACAATATGATTTATTGTAGAAAGAAGAGGTACCTTGTTATTGAGTCTCTTGTAGATTGGGGCGAGTATGTTGAAGGTGGTGCAGGAAATGCAGGTTGGGTCTTTAATGGAGGACGCAATGGCATAGCTACCGATTCTGGACACCCTCGCTTTCGTCATCCCTCCTCTATGCTTCCTTCCCATTGAAAACTTACAATATCAATGATATGTTAGTGCAGAGTATATCTATCTATGAACAAATATTTTCAATATATATATAAGGACACTGCAGTGTCCTTATATATATATTGAAAATATTTGTTCATAGATAGATATACTCTGCACTAACATATCATTGATATTGTAAGTTTTCAATGGGAAGGAAGCATAGAGGAGGGATGACGAAAGCGAGGGTGTCCAGAATCGGTAGCTATGCCATTGCGTCCTCCATTAAAGACCCAACCTGCATTTCCTGCACCACCTTCAACATACTCGCCCCAATCTACAAGAGACTCAATAACAAGGTACCTCTTCTTTCTACAATAAATCATATTGTCCTAATCTGAAATATACATATTCTCATCTGTTCTGTGCTTATATATGTATGTACAAGTCTGTCATATGTTGGTATTTATATGGTATTGAATGAATTTCTGAAAGGACAGGACCAAAGTTGCCGGGAAAGCGATTACAGGGTGTATTGGTTGAACAGGAACCAGAGAATATTGGATTGGTTGTTGAACGAAAGATCTTCCATTATCTGTCTTCAGGTTTGCCAATTCCTTGGTCTATTCTGTTGTGCATTCTTTTAACGAATTTGGGTGGATAGTAGAACTATGGGCACACTGAACGAACAATATATTCGTATTTTGTCGCCTGATGCAGGAGTTTTGGGTTGGGAATGAAGAGCTTGTCAATATTTACAAGAGGAGACTTAGTGATGCTGGTTATATCAATTTCAAGCTTGCGCGAACCAACAACCGTGGTGATGGTATGTTCTCTCATTTTCCTGAATTGATTTCTATTAAATCACAGTTTCATTTTGAAAGATCTTAGTCCATTTTGTACATTAGATGATTCTTATTTTATTTGGATGATATATATTCATTGAATGGTTTTTCATAATTCTAGATACTAGTTTCTTTTGTTTATAAAAATTACATGATTTGCTCATAGTCGGAGTAAGAACAGACACATATGAAACTAGAAAGTGGGTGAAGGGTTGTTAAGCAGGTGTACTTGTTTTTGTGCTTCGACGGGGAACCCAATATTTTTGAGAAAATGGTGGCAGTGCAACATCTGCACCTACCAGACTAAACTTCAGCAGTAGAGTGGCCATTTTTGACATTAACTTTTGTGTTGTATTTCTCAAAGTAGTGGGAGAATAGGCATCATATATCAGCTATTCATGAAGAATTGCTACAGATTTCATATATGCACACAGACACACATCTATATACATACATATATATGGACACAAAATGATTGACTTCCACTGTAATTTAACTTGGGTAAATGTTTACAATCCCATTTTGATTACCCTAGAGCTGATTCAGATATTTGTTTTTGGGATTCAACAGGTCTTCTAACTTCTGTGCATAAGGACTACTTTAGGGTTCTTAACCATAGGGAGTTGCTCTTCAATGATTTGGAGACCGTGTTGCTCAGCTATTACATGTTGAATTAGTCGCACCCTTCACACAATATCATAGCAACAATGTTCAGCAAGAAATTCTTATAGTGAACACCCATTTATTATTTCCTCATGATTCAAGTTGTTGTCTGGAACGATTGCGTCAGGTAGATAAACTTCTTTGTCAAAGTGTTGGTTTGTATGCATCTCACTTCATTTTCATATTATTCGGTGTTCGTATTCTTAACCTGTATTTTGTGTGTCTTCTAATAGGCCTACAAAATCTTGCAGCATGTCGAGTCATATCAGAAGGAAAATAAGCTTAATCCATTGCCCATTATATTGTGCGGGTAAGTTCTGAGTAATTGTATTCCTGTCTGAGTGGTCTTACAAACTACCAAGTATTTTCGATATGATAAATTTCTTTTCCCTTTCAGTGACTGGAATGGAAGCAAACAAGGTCATGTTTACAAATTCCTTAGATCTCAGGGGTTTGTGTCAGCATATGATACTGCTCATCAGTACACTGATGC